TATGGTAATTGTAATGGCTAATTTCATTCTATTGGTAATGGCAAATGATAATTAATAGTAGAGATAAGGTAATGGTAATTGTAATAGATAATTAAGTAAGATGGTGTGTTGTGTTATGGTGTTATCACTATACTATCAGCAAGAGTATCTTGCTATCAGTCACTGGTTATGTCTTAGTGTTAACTTGCTAACTAGAGTGTGACAGTTAGCATGTGCTCTTTTATTACCAAAAAATTTTTGAAAACTCCTTTTAAAGTTAACTCTACTTTACATGTATATTAACATTAAGTTTTCTTAAATAAAATGACTATTATAATCAAAAGTTTTCAGTTTCTTGCAATTTTGTGCTAATTGTAATGCAATGTAATACACTTTCTAAAGTAATGGTAATGGTAATTTAGGTAGTTTCAATAATAATGATAATATAATTGGTGGTATAACTTATAAATTGTAATGGTAATGGTAATGTAATGAAGATTTTTGGTAATAGTAATGGTAATAGTAATGATTAAAAAACAAACTAATTGACAACAACCCTAATATACATACATGTATGTGTGCTATATAAAATAATATAAAAGAGTATTATCACTGTCATACAAGCATACAAACATTACTATTGTGCAAGTACATCTTGGTATGATTTTAAAAAATATGTCACCTTCCCTCAAGAGAAAATGATACATAATAAAAAGAGTACATAAAGGTGTATATTTATGTTAATGCTAGCCATGGCTTTGTCTTTGATGTAACCTTTACACTGACTCTGAAGTACAGACTATCATTTTTAAGATGCTGACAATTAGTGAATGGATTATACCTCAGTGCTGCATGTGGTATGAACTTGGAGTAGCCCCATCCATGCTTGCTAACTTCTCCTCTTGTCACTCTCTCCTTACCAGGACCTGGTGTTGATTCATTATAACAAATAACTCCCTTCCTATGATTCTTATCCTCCAGTTGATTCAGAAGCTCTAGGGTTACATCTCCGTAAAATGGCCACTCCAATGTATCGTCGTATTCTCCCGGGACGAGGTAGATGTAGCAAGAGATGTAATGGCCTTTACCGTCACCAAATCCACTGCATTCAACCCTTAGCCTCATCCTGTAGCCTCTTGGTGATGTGTAGAAGTCCGAGCTATTCCAAAACTTGTTTTGAGTCTTTTTCTGTAAGAACTCTGTCAGCCTAAACACTTTGCTGTTGATTGTTTTCAGTTCTAACTTTTCAATTCTCCTCACTGCTAGCTGAAGGTGTTCCTCTACTGATTCCCTGCTATGTTCCTCCTTCTCCTCCCTCTTCATCTTTCTATTGCAGCCAATGTTACTGTATTCACATGCTACGATAGCTTTA